GCACCCCCCCTGAAATTCAAGGTGTTTAAAACATATATATATATAATTATATATATATTATATATATATATATTTTTTTAAATATATATATAGCACCAAATTGCAAATAATCTATAACTACTGTCACTTTTCACATTGAACATGTGCTCTTTTATTAAATAAACTAAACGCTTTCATTTTAAGTTGTGAGTTTAGTGTTTTTGACCCTAAGAAACACTGATGCATTAATCAATAACAATAACCCACAGCTCCTCTCTCTACTCCAGAGGATTTAAAAAATATATATCCCAATGCCACAAAAATGCATCAGTGACGTGGTTGAAATCTTGTCTCCAGAAAACAAAAAACTGAAACAAGCGGTATCAGTAACTGTGTGTTTGATGTGGCTCTTTGCAGTAACATAGAAAAAATTGGGCTCTTAACCTCTGACTGGTTGGCCACCCCTGTGCTAGAGGATGCACTTCTCTTTCCACATGTTGAGATCGTTGAAAATCAACAATAAGTAACTTATTTCATCCAATAGTGCATGAGTGCTTATCTATCAGATGTGCCAGACATATTTACCGACCTGTGCAGAGCTCCACCACCAACCAGAGGTGGTTGCTTGTCTCATACCACTCATAGAAGCTAACTATGTTCGGATGATCCAGATCTTGGCTGAGACGTACCTAATGGAACAAAAAGAGGACATATTTATATTACTATAGTGCAATGCTAAAATGTTAAATGATATCTAATTTAAAAAAATGTGATTGATAGATAGAAATGCAAAACCTTTTAAAAATGACAACAGTGCTCAACATTTTTAAATTGTAAGATAATTGTAAGATAGTAAGAAGAAATGTAAAAATGTTAAAATTGCATTTATTGATGTCATGGCTCTTCCGGCTGAAAAAAAAAAAATACTATAAAATCTATGTACTAATTAAAAAACGAAATGAAATGCGACAGATGTCTACCACAATCCTACATGGTTAGTGATCACAGGTCTCTTGGATTTGTCGGCACAGATGATAGCGACATAGTTCAGGTTGCCCTTCCTTCTTCCTTTGTAGACAACAGAGCTACTTCCTGCCCCAAGCTCCTCATACAGGATGAAGTTCTCCATCCACTGTGGAAAATAATAGACATTTTTAGAAGTTAAGGTAAAAATAGAGAATGAGAATAGAGTTTGTAACCAATGGGGATTAGTACATATCAGATATAAAACCAAAACTACATCATTTTAGGACATTAGCTCTATCATTAATGTAATTCATGTTATCCAATCTGTCAGAAGAAACGTGATATTTTAATTATTGTTAATAGTTACAGTCTCATGAATTATTCAAGTAGTATAACCCTTAACCTATTAAATGTGTCATGCATATGGTTTTTCACTATTTAAAGAGAAATAACAATGTCTGAGGACAAAATGGCACCTACAATATATTAATATTTATTATGGGTCAAATGAATATACTGTATGTAGGCAAGGCATGCATATATATATAAGGTAATATGTGGAATATCTTTGTTCTTGTTAACTTTACAAGATGAGGAATTTACATTTAGCATAGGCTTACAATTTTTCCACAACTAACGCCAGTTATTGTCAAATAAAATGGCTGACATACCTATAAAGAGTTACCAGCTGATTATAATTACGCATAATTAGCTACAGAACACATTACACCTGTTAGACTCTGAAGGTTTGATATGCACAGAAACAACTGTCGTAAAAGTTTTACTTTCAGCCCTCTAGATCCTGAAGCAACTCAAATATATATATTAAATACACATTATTTATTTCAGTATAATGTAACTTTAAGGAGGAGAATAGCTTATTTAACTGTCACGTTAGCGGCTAACGGTGGGACAGGTCCCACAACCGCTAACGTTGTCGTGTATTCGGAAGCACAGGCAGGTTTGTTCGCGTAACAAGACAGCAGTCAAGAGTTAAAGTGACGTATTTACTTTAAAACTGCATGCAACTATACCTGGATATACAAAATACCTGCATTCAAAATGTTTGCATTTGCTCAAACTAAATATAAAAGCTACCCTAAAACTTACCTCTTCATTCACCCGCTGTTGTTGGCGGAAGTGTAATGGGCCACGTAATTCGAACTGGAAGAGGGAACTTTGGATTTCTTCAGTTATAATTAAAGCTAAATCTACTCACTTAAGTCATTACATGAGTGTTAAGAATATTATTTATCTTTATTAAATATTTTTAGATACAGAAAATGTAAGGAAGATGTCAATTGCACAGTATATGTTTATTTTATGTTAACTTGATAGCCTTCAAATGGTATATTCCTGCGTCGCTAGGATACAGGAGTGCATACAACAGACATAGCGCATGGCCACAGCAATAATCACAATCAAAATGAAAGTATGACATATTTAAAACCAGGGCCGGCCCTGCCTAACTATATTGAACATATGGATCTCAGTATGATTGAATTTACATTAAAGAGGCTTTTAGACTTTTAATATTTTCCAACATTTAACGGTATGCATATGAATAACTTATTCACTTAATGTTAGGTTACTACCTTTTGTAGTTAAAGCCTTCAAAAATGTTCAAATGTCCACTAAGTTTGATGGCTCCTTGTAAGTGTGGCCTGTGTGCAGCCTTCGTACTAAGATATATGTCCATACAGAATTAGTTTGAGAAACATGCTTCAATCCTGCCTAGGGTCCCCAATGTTCCACTTATGGAAAACACTGTCCCAGATAATGTAGAAATACGTAGAAATGCATGTAAGCATAGAGCTTTGAGGGTTTCAGGATTAGTCACTGACCCCAATCCTCCTGTATCTGGTTCTCCATTGTCTTTAGATTAACAGCATCTTGGTCTGCTGTCCTGCAGTTTTCACCCTTGTTGGAAGTATAGTAACAGAAGCCAGTTATGGAAAAAATGAAATATATATTTGTGTCATTTGCAGATAAACATATTGTATTGTGTTTTTAGTGTATTCATTTTCCTTTTACCCTTTTTAAAAAATATATATATTTGTTATAACAGTTAACGAATATTACATTACATTACATTACATTACATTACATTACATTACATAGCTGACGCTTTTATCCAAAGCGACTTACAATAAATGCATTCAACCAGGAAGATACAACCTTGAAGAAAACAGAATCATATAAGTACATCAGGTTTCATAGAGCCAAACATTTCAAGTGCTACTCAACTGGCTTTAGATAAGCCAGCCCTTTATTAGTATATAAGTGCTTTGTTAGTAATTCTATCGCTCGAAGTGGAGTCGAAAGAGATGAGTTTTCAGTCTGCGCCGGAAGATGTGCAAGCTATCTGCTGTCCTGATTTCAATGGGGAGCTCATTCCACCATTTTGGAGCCAGGATAGCAAACCCACAAGTTTTTGCTGATGGGAACTTGGGTCCCCCTCGCAGTGCGGGTGCAGCGAGCTGTTTGGCCGATGCAGAGCGGAGTGCATGTGCTGGGGTGTACGGTTTAACCATGTCCTGGATGTAGGAAGGGCCAGATCCATTCGCAGCATGGTACGCAAGTACCAGTGTCTTGAAGTGGATTCTAGCAGTTACTGGAAGCCAGTGAAGGGAGCGGAGGA